TTTTTTTTTTTTTTTTTAATCGATACCGAGTTGCGTTGCGTATCGGTTGAAAAATGTTGGCGTTACGTTTCTTGCGCCGGTTTTCACGGTGCGTTTGCCGGTGAATCGTGAAATTACGCGGAATTTTGTATCGTTTTGTAATTACCACGTGATAGAGTTCCACGACTGACATGGTATCCGGATCCACCATGTGTGCTCCCTGACGTGGTACCAGGTCCAATCCCAGCTTCCTGAAACGTTCGAAAGTACCGCGTGGTTAATTATTAAATGAGCAATACTTTGACGTAGAATTTTAATTGTTCATATCGCGAACGAAGAGTAGCGTGTATGTACATAATTCTTGATCGAAAGGATATGCGCAAAGGTAGGATTATGAAATTGATCGGGCTTGAAAGTACACGAGTTTTCATCGACGGAACAGACATTTGAGATCTAAGAAGAGATAAGGTGCTCAAGCACCTTGTTAGAAATGTGATATATCGACTCGGAGCTGGTTCTTTTCTTTACAGGATAATTTTATTCAGCGTAAAAAGCGAGAGTTAATAGATAGAAAAAAAAAAAAACAAAATGAAATAAAAAGTTCAAAAATAATTTAGAAATTCCAATAAAATGAACGTTCCATGTTTAACCAATTCGCGCAGAATAACGGAATCAGGCTCGTAGTGTATTTTTGTGGGCATTAACGAGTTATTGCGATCGATTTCAAATAATAATTATTCTATATAATTACGAAATAGCTTCACCGTTTCGATTAATTACGAAATAATTCTGTTTGTAATTAAGCACGGGTAAAAATAATTTTGAAAAGTGCAGTGACAGCGATGAACAGATTTTTTTTAACGTTTTAGGCGTTATTATTAATATTAATTTTATCTTTAATTATTTAATTAATTAATATTAATTTTATCTTTCGAAGATTCTGATAACGAGGATGCAACAAAAACAAACGAAACTTCGACAAGTGATAAGGTTAATGATTTGAATTAGGTTCCCAAGGATAATAATCCAAAAAATTTTATCTTCACGGGAACCACCAGGTATAAATCCTTTATTTTTGGACAAATTACGAGATAACTGTAATAGATTTATTCGATATTGACGGATGATTATTGGGACGTGAGAGCTGTTGAAACAAATAAATAAGCTAAATAGTGAAAATTACAAAAAGACGAGTGAAACTTGGGAAAGCAAACTCTGTTTGATAGCTTCATGTATTCCAGAATGTTTCAAAAAT